ATAAAGTCTCATCTTCAATTAGATGCTTATCAAAGTCGCATCGTGCTTTGGTCGACGACAATTTTTTCATTAAAAGGCATCTTCAACAATCCATTGATGTCGACACCAACCTTCATATCATTCTCACTAGAGATATCTATTCAGTAGTAAGTGTGGATGATCAAGAGTTCAATTCTAGTAGTCAACAAATAACATGACTCAACAAGCCTTTCCCAGGTGTCATGAAAATATTGGGTTCCTGTAATGGGCTACTTTGTATTCCGATCAATAATAGCAAATTTGGTGAAGCTGTCTGAAATCCATTTTCGAGAAGGTATAGGAAGTTACCTATAGCCCCTAATAATCCAGGATTTATTCACAACATTCAGAATAACATCATTAAAAATCATAATGGTGTTCAATTACATTGGTTTACTAGTTATGGATTTGGTTATGATTATTTAAATGATGATTATAAGGTTGTGAGAATCCTTCAATGTATTGACAATGTGCGTAGATTATCACGACAATGAAGTTTAGGTTTGTAGTGTGAGATTGAATTTATGGAGAACAACTAATTTCCCTTACAGTCAATATTTTTGGGGAAGAATGGAAAGTTGAATTGTAAATGGCATAATACATTGGTTTAACGTTTTGATAAGAGCTTGAAAATACGCGTTTAGTTAGTGATTTATTTAGAGTATTTGTGTAAAAGTTAATTTAAATTGCAAAATTTGAGTTTATTTCATAAATATCATTTATGGGATCACAAGTATATTTTGAGTACTTTCAGGTCATAACTGATATTTGAATGAAGAAGAATAATGTTGATGGAATTTGTGACGAGTAGCAATGAACGATGCAAGAATTGGAGTTGAAATGAGGAAGTTATGATACTTTAAAGATTATACTCAAATCTTGGAATTTCTTCAAGATGAACATGCTTCAGTGTTTTGATCATAACTTGAGCTGTAAAAATCAAAATTGAATGATTCTTATAGTGTTGGAAAGCTTATTTAGAGGGCTATAAAGTTTGTGTTGATGAATTTGCCAAATTTGAAGATATCAGACTGGTGGGATAGAAAGAACGATCGTCTCAGCGACCGTTTCTGTTGTTGCAGTAGTGGAGAGCGGGCTTGTATGGATTGTTTAAAGCCTGGTCCGAATTTGACCTGTTTTAGGGCATTAAACTTTTTCCTGTTTAACTTACAAACCCTAGCACTATAAATAAAGGTCTTTAATTAGTTTTTAGGGAGAAGAAAGAGAGAAGAGTAGCCACTATTTGGAGATCAAAATTCTTGGAGTTTTGGGTCCACCAATTAGAGAAGTTTTTCTAATTTCTTTTTTGTGCTCATGTTATTCAATACAATGGTTGTTTTTAATATTGAAAGTATAAACTAGATTCATTTCTAGGGCTAAGATGTAGCCCAATTTTATGAATATGCATTGAATTATTTGTTGTTAATTTTTATTAAGTTTTGTTTATAAGTTTTATTATTGCACTTAATGCTTTCAATTCTTAAGGGCTTAGGGTTGAATGATTTTATGGGTTAGGTTGAGATCGAGAGATGAAACCTAATTAGTCTAAGATAATAAAACCATAGATTGAGCGAACATTAGAAATAGGTTATTGCGATCTATGAGGCTCTGGTAAATTCAATAAAACTTAATGATCTCTTAGCTTCGAAATCCACTTTAGAGATATTTTGGGTTGGTGATTAAGGGTTAATTTGGTAATTGTTCGAAAGAAAATTATTAGAATATTATGGAATTTGGCCTTTAAAATAACCTTAATTAGGTTAGAAATAATTGTCAATGTATATGATTAAATTGGTGTGAAATCTATGCCATAGGTTTAGTCATATTGATTTTTTACTAAAGTATTAATAAAATTTTGCTTTTGTTTAGTTTTTAGTTTGTTTTATTTTTCATTAAATTCTTTCTTGAGGAATTTGATTAATCATATAGTAATAAGATAGGTTAGCAGTCGTTTTCTTGGGATTCGACACTCGTTATTCGAGCTTTATTACTTGTACGATTTCGTACACTTGCAAATAGCCTCTCCCGTTTCAATTGCGAACAAAAAATATCCTGCCTAGTGGTTACTTTTAATCTTGGGGTTGAAGAATTTGACACATTACCACTTTCTCATTCTGTTGTTGTCGATGATGTGAATATGGTTTATTTGAAGATTCTGGGGCGATGCCTATGCTATCACGACCCTAGAAGAATTGTGCAGCCATAGTGCATAAACAAGAGATCAGACACTAAACAAGCCTAAATAATTTACAAACTCTCAAATAAAAGTAAGGACACAAAGAACAAAGATTGAGAGAAAAACTCTATTGTATTGCTCTCAATCGAATACCATGCTTAGGATATGAAAATAACAAAGATGGGAAATGATTACAAGCCAATACTCTCTAGTTTCAAATGAGATAAAAGTACTCCTTTGAAAATGAATAAAACAAGCCAAAGTAGATTGTAACTTTAAGGCAGAGAAGGATTCTCTTTGCAACCTTGAAATAAGTTGTTGTTGGGGTTTCCATATAATGATTAACTAACCCAACGACATAGAGAATGTTAAGTCTGATACAAGTACAAGTAAACTAGCGCAAGCTTCTAATTAGGCTCTTGAAGAGAGTTGGATTTATTCTTTCTCCTTCACCGTGCTTATTGGATAATTTGATTCCTCACTATATTGGTGCACTTATAGGATTGCAATCATGCATCTTAAACCAATGTTCTGAAACCCGGACTGGACGGGTGGTCGAACCGGTTTGATCGGGTTTCGTTTAGATTTTCGGTTTGAAAAGAGCAAAAAACCGGGATTTGAAGTCAAACCATTTCAAACCGCGGTTGGACCGTCACACTGTAGCAAACCAACGGTCCAATCGGTATTAAAAAGAATTCCGGTCCACACCCAATCCGGTTTAATCATATGAAATAAGAAATTAAAAAAAAATAAAAATTAAAAACTACAGTTGCACAAACACAAAGTCAAAAGTGCCAAATTTTTTAATTCATTTTCAATTTGCTTTTGAGCTGTGAGCTACTAACTCCAGTCCTCCTCCTTCTGTCCTCCATTCGCGATCTCAGAAGTCAGATCTCCTTCAAGCTTCAACTTCAACGGTTCAACCTTCAAGTCTTCATTCTTCACTCTTCACTCTTCAAGTCTTCGGTCTGCTACTATGCTTCAGTGCTTCTTCCTTGCTGTGGGTGGTCTGCTGCCTGCAAGTCTTCGCGATCTCCACTCTCCAGTTCAGTCCTCCTCCTCCTGTCCTCCATTCGCGATCTCAGAAGTCAAATCTCCTTCAAGCTTCAGCTTCAGTGGTTCAGCCTTTAAGTCTTCACTCTTGCTTGCGGTTGCTGGTCTGTCGGATTAGTCACTTCAGTTCAGATTTCAGCCTTCACATCTGCCGCCATCTTCCGTCGTCTACGAGCTGTCGTTTGCCGTCGACCAAGTAACAATCTACACCTATTAGAAGTAAGGTGTGGGATCTTATGGGTGACCGTGAAGATACAGGTTTCTTTATCAGCGGGAGTGTAGATTGTTCGATGAGTTACATCTCTGATTATTTTTTTCTGTCATAAAATTCCTTTGCACAAGAGTCATGCATTGCTTGGAAGCTGGATTTCTGTCTCATTCAGTGGAGCCTGTCAATGGGAATTGTGGAGTGTGGATTAGTGAGCTTGCTTGGGATTCTATTTATAAGCGTTAAATAAATCTATCTAGCAATTTGCCAGTTACCATGTTTCCTGACACAACCATGTCTGACGTACTTGATCCTTTTAATTCTTTTGGCTAGTAAATGAAATTAAGAGTGAAATGAGTAACAGAATGTGTAAAATTGTGCCACATTCTTAATATATTGTGTTGATGCGGATTTTAATACCAACTAATCGACACGTGCGTAACGTTGATTGATCAAGGGACACACGTGATTATGGAGAGAATGTAGAATAAATGCAATGGGAGCTTTTTAAAGTGGTTCGGATGCTAAGGTAGCAAATCCTACGTCCACTGATTTGTATTAGTATTGTGGGTCAGGTCGCAACAGCGAACTGACTTACAAATGATTAGGAAAAGTAAATACCAAGTTTGTAAGAGAGAGATAGTTCAAGTGTAAAATGGCCGAATCCCCTTAATGAAGGGGTCTCCCTCTTTTTATAACGAGATGAATGCATGTAATCATCATTAAATCCATGGGTTGGTGTGAATATCAGGACATAATCCGGCTTTACGTCACATTGCCCACGTCCCAAGCTGATTTCACGCGATTTGGAGCAGGGAAATGGACACCTGGGAGCTCCACAGCGTCTGGCAGGCCTGACGTGCGCTTACCGTTTTGACGGGAGTAGGTCACACTTCATCACTTGACTTCCCACGTCAGCCCTTGATTTCCCAGGCATAACAGAAGTCCCCTAGTTTTTAAGGTTTGAGGATCGAACCTTGGAAACTAAGTCATGCGGCGATTGGAGGTTCTGGTAATTTCGACCTGAATGGAAGAAGCTTGGGACAGGGCCTTTTCCGAACACGACCTCGCACAATCTTTGCCCAAACGACTTGACAATCATCATCCTAGCGACCTGGATTCATCGGACGTTTCTTACCGTGTCTTAGGGTTGGAGATTCAATGAGCCTGTTTCCGCGCTGTCAGGGGCTCTGCACGTGTTAAAGCGTTTGGCAGGCGCATTAAATTCGTTTTGTGCTGACCCGGCGTTGAATTTAGGTCTTTCTAGTGCATAACCAGGTCAAAACGACCTCAAATCTAGCCTTTTTCGGTACATTATCGGCCAGATCCAGCTGGTAGTGTGCCATTATACCAGTTTTGGCCACCTTTTGATGGTGGTGGTCGGAATCTGATGAATGTGGATAGGTGGGAGTGTTTTTGTTAATTTTTAAATTTTTTTTTGAAAGTATTTAGTTAAATTAATAAATTTAAGGGATTTAAAAATAATTGAAGAAAATATAATAGTATTTTGATAATGATCAAACAGTTATTTTGAGCATAGGAATACATGTCAAATATGGAAACAAACGGACTTCCCCCAAAAACCAATTATCTACTGCCCAAAATTCTTCCGCCCAAAAACCAAATTTTTTTCCACTGAATCGCAGAATCTCTCTACAACGCTGATTCATTCTAAATCCAACTTCACGGCTCAAGGTGATTATTGTTGTCAATAATATTTTCAATTTAGGGTTTTAACTTTTAATTCTTTCTTTTCAACTTCATCACTCAAGGTGCTCTCTACAACGCTGATTGTTGTCAAACACTGATTTTGGTGGGAGAAAAGCTTTGGTTTCGTGGAGCTGTTGCATTTTAGTTACTTTTTGGATTTTATGTTGGAGAGAAGTAGAAGAATTTCTTAAAATGCTATTAAAGATGAGGATGATTTCTGTTCCCTTTGTTATTCAGAAACATGCTGATTTTGCAACCACGGGAATGTTATTGGCGAAGCGCTGTATTCATGCTACAGGTTTTTGTTGTATTTCTTCACCATTTTTTATGGGTGAGCATTCTATATTTGTTTGGTTCTTATTATTCTATTGTAATGTATTTTCAAGGATCTTGCTACTCCAATCAGCGAGACTACTACGAAGTTCTTGGTGTTCCTAAAAATGCGAGCCAGGATGAGATAAAAAAGGCGTTTCATGCCATGAGTATTTTGAGCACTTAATATGCTTTTAAGTTGGGAATTACATTTTATCATAAGAAATCCATTACTGTAGTGTAAAACATCTTCTGATGGATTGTTCTTCTTTTCTGGCATCTTGCAATCACTAGTAGCTGTTCTTTATGGGGTCAGTGGCTTAATTTTTCCTTAGCTCTTTAAAAAGGTGGCTTTAGTGTTTGGGTGAAAACTATTGGGCTATTTACTTTTAGGAATAGTTTTGCTTGTGGAATCCTTAAGGAACTTGGAAAGGTACACCGGAGTGCATCTAATTTTACTAGTACTAGAATCTAGGGGTATTTGAGGTTGGCAGCGTTGCCAGATATTTTTCTACCACTTATGCCATTGGGAAATCATGTCTGCAGTTGGTTTAATGTGATTATCCATCATCTAACAGACCTTTTATTTTTATGGCTATTGTCTAAGATGTTGGCATCCACAAAGTTGTGCAGCTTGCCAAGAAGTATCATCCAATGCAAATAAGAATAATCCTTTTGCAAAGAGTGAATTTCAAGAGATAGAATGCTTATGAGGTTTGTAGCTTTGGTTGGATTGTGAAGTACAATAAATAATAATATTTTTATTTTCTGATGTGATATAGTCTGATAGTTGTATTTTCTCTGTCCATTAGCATAATGATTGTTAACTTCTGTTCTTCCTACTAAAAAATATAACTGATCTTGTTCTGACATGGTCCAACAGCTCCAATTTTATGATGATTTGCCTATTCGGGTATATTGCAATTCTGCAAGTTCTAAGAAGAGGCTCAGTATACATGTACTACTCTTTTTTCTTCTTTCTCCCTCTCTTTCTTTTCATTTACTTATGTATTCTTTCACCTATTTTGTGATTCTATAGTCATTAGGTATCTTTGGTCTGTCTTTAGTATTGTTCGGTGTTTTTACAGGAGGCACTTAACTTTTACATATTAAAGTTTCAAAATGTATGCATTTTGATTCTTGTGTCACACTAAAGGTTTTCAAATTAACTGAATCATTTTTTTTTTTATCCTTATGATTAATGGAAGGGTGAAGTAGAGGCTCGGAAATGTAGACTATAATACTGATGGTGCAGAGGGTTTAGATATGCTTATCAACACTCATTCTCTGGTTCTTTCCATAAAATATTCTTTGAGGTACTTCTCCTCTCCTGTTTTCATGTTTTCATCTTAATGTAGTCTACATATCCTAAACTGTTAATATTGAATTTAGGGGAAAGTGGATGGGCATCAAAAACATTTTCATATCAAGAATCACCAATAATGTCTACTTATTTGGTGGCAGTTGTTATTGGTTTGTTTGATTATGTGGAAGACACACATCTGATGGTATGGTTATACTATATTTTCTATTGACTTTTCTTCCATATTTCATGGTAATTCCTATAAGAAAAGTATATGTGTCTGTTGACTATTTGGTGTACTATAAGAACAATATTTTGAAATATTAAGCTTGGATTAAATGTGTTAGTCAACTTAAAACTATAATTGATATATTTGGTAGTAATTTATGAAGTTTGGCAGTAAAACACTAGGGCATTTAGCGAAAATATGGAACGGATCTGTTTGTGTCTCTTATGATCTGATTTCCATTTACTGATTTGATTGTATTTGCATTGGAATAACTTATGTTAATTGCATAAAGTAGCATTACTGATATTGTTTCTTCTAATTTATGGATGTCAAATTCAATAATACCATCACAGGTCTAAAATTTATGATCTCAGGTGCTACCTATTTTCCCTCGCCTTGTTGGCCTTCCATTAGAAAAGTTCCAGATGACACTTCCTCACATACTACAGGTGGGCATGATTCCTTGACGTGACTTCATAATTTGCTGTTTGGTTTCTGTTGGAATTGTTAAGACATCAGGACCCACTTGTTTTTGCCTACTTATTATAATGGTTGTCAAATTGCTTTGTTATGTAATCCTTTTCAAAGAAAAAAATAAAGCACTCTGTTTGATTTTCTGATAGGAGGTATTATGATTGTTTAAGTCACAGATTCAATTCAGCCTAAAGTTTTAGATATATTCTCTTGCGTGACTTCATAATTTGCTGTTTGGGTTCTGTTGGATTGTTAAGACATTCAGGGACCCACTGTTTTTTGCCTACTTATTATAAGTGGTTGTCAATTGCTTTGTTATGTAATCCTTCTCAAAGAAAAAATAAAGCGCTCTGGTTGATTTTCTGATAGGAGTATTATGATTGATTTAAGTCACACATTCAATTCAGCCTAAAGTTTTAGATAATATGTAAGGATGTCTTGACTTCCATCAAAGCATGGATGCTTAGTTAACTTATGTTTAGACATTGTGAAAATTGCTTGTTTTGATCTGTCATGTGTATAGTGGCAGTGAGAGTTTGGTAGTTGTATTGTTAAAGCTAGAGTTCCAAGCCAATTTATGTGCTTTGATTTCTCGCTATTTCTCTTCTGCTTGCTTTCTAATTCCAACAGTGAACTTGCTTTAGTTCTTTGGCGATCTTGTAGTTTTTTCTTTGTGCGATTATTAAATGCTATATGTTTTCACGTCATTTTGCCTTCCCCTTTGACTTGGAATCATGAAAATTGCTAAGAGTCATAATTGTTAAGGGCGGGTTTTAAATTGCTATATATTATAACATGCTTTTTCACCTTTTCTATTGTCTTGGAATCGACAATTGCTAGAATTCATAATTGTTTATGACAGGGTTCAGCTCATACTGTCCAGCTTTAACTCCGTACAAGTGTTGGTTGCATACATGAAATTGTTCCTGAGGAGATGGCCTTGCACTGAAAAAGGCATGTCCTTGTCATTCTGAACTTAATGGTCTTGGAACTTTACAATTTGGTTGACTGTGATGGTGATCTATAAACTACACATTCAGATCATACTTATTCTTTCTATCACCCTCTTGGTCCGTAACTGTTTTATTCCTTTTCACCTAATGGATTGATTTTTGTAATATGATGTGCTAAGGCCGGAGAAAGCTTGTCCTAATTTGTACATAAAGAAAATATTCAAACTGGAATGCAGTTCCCTAGGTTGGGCTTGGTAGAGTAATTAGTAGAATTTTGGGGTTGCCCGATTTGAAGCCAACCTATTTCAACCATGGTTGCTTAGTCCAAGCTAAGGCTGGATTGGTGTCGCTTTAGATTGTTTAAGTTCTGATTAAATAATAATGTCATTATGTTTGCTATGTTTGAGGAAAACACTAAATTGTGTGCTTTCGGATCTATGTTTAATCTTTTACTGTTTTTGAGGAAAGAAATATACACAGATGCGGAGATCGATGAAGTTAGAGGAGAATGGGCAATGTACGTATCAAACTTTTTTTAGTTATAGATGTTTTCATTGATCATTTTTTTAGTTATAGATGTTTTCATTGATGCCAAGGCGTTAATGAGGGAAAAAAGTATAAAACTTTTGTTGAATGATATACTACTATTGTTGAATTTCGTTTACTTAATTAGTATGATTCAAAGATTGTTGAATGTTTAATGTTATTTATGAATTGTGATAATTGTCGTTGGCTGAGGAATATTATGAAGAATTTCATTGTATTATTTTATTATTTAATTGGTAATAAATTACAAAATAAAAATATTTACAAAAAAAATCCTTGACATTTTTAAGACTATCAATGATGGAAAATTATTATTAATAAAATTTGATTATTATTATTATTAAATTAATTTTTTTTGGTTAAAATCTCAACAGTTCGAAGAATGTTAATGATTGGTTAAAATTTGGTTAAATCCTTAACGGGTAATAACTGTCAAGAGATCTGTTAAGAAATTATTGACAGTTAAAAAACGATCACCATCCTTTTTGACATTGGCTTCAATGACGGGTGAAGAATTGTTAAGAAACCTTCTTCTTGACAGATATTACCAGTTAAGAAAGGGGTTTTTTTTAGTAGTGTGAGAATTTCATGCATATCTTTTTTTCGTTGAGAATAGATTATAACTATGAAATGGTAGCATTTAAATAACAAGATTGTATTATATAATTTAAACATTCTGGAATTTCATGAACTCTGTCTCTTTTATTTTGTCTAAAGCTAGAAAGAAACTGTATTTTTTTTCTTTTTTAAGTCAGATGATTTGGTATTTCTCGTTTAATAGCATTTTGTTTGTTGCATCCTTATGCATCGAAATAGCTCTCTATGTTTAATTTGACACGAATGTTCTACAATTCATTGTGATATAGTAATTTGTGTAAAAGATGCCATAGAGTCAAAGCTAAATTCAACATACCGTGTGCAAGTCGAGGCAAAACCGCAAAGGTAGACAAGTCTAATTTGGCCATGACTTTCAAAATACCATTTCGATACAGTAATCAAAATTCAAAATACAGTTCTGTATCTACATTGTCCACCCATCTAACAGTTTATGACACACCTAGTTAGAATTTGAAGACGTGGCAAGCAGATAAGAAGGAAATCAATGGTATTATCAATGAGTAATCAATAAATTTCAAACCAAAATCTTGAGGGAAACTAGCAACATTAAGTGAAGCTCAGTAGCTCACCTCCCACATTGCGCAAGCAAAATCACACTCAAATAGAACTCTTACAAGCATTTCATGTAATGATTGCTTAATACTAGGATACTCATAGAAATACATCAGTAAAATACATGTATTGTGCTAAAAGTAGTTGGGCTCGAAAATTTTCTTTTATTATATATAAACATTACTTATACAAACTAGAATATCATTTACAAAATGCCATTAAAACAGTGGACGGTGTAGCTATTGCTCCTCGCTTGCCGACGCCCATCCGACTGCGTTCTCACCTAGATCCTACAACCACAAAGAAAAACAACAGGGTGAGCACAAAATAATGCTCAGTAAGTAAATCCTCTACTCGACTGTCCCCGTAACTCTTTCTCTTAATTCTTTCCTTACATTTTTTCTCATCTCATTTATTTTCTCTTTCACACAGCTCTCTTTCTGCTATATGTCACGACCTCATCTTACCGGAGGCACGGCCGAATGGAGTTCAC